GAGGGTTTGTTATAAAGCATTTCGTAACTGTAGGTGCTCTTAGAATCTCTCATATCCCCTGTGAGCAATATACTTTACCCCCCGAAGCGTCAGAGATAAGAGAACTGAGCCTCATATCTCCAACATAATTTACCATCAGCTGTGTCGACATAGTGGGGATAAGAAAACCCACACGCAAGGCTCTCCGATGGCATTCATGCTATCGAATGTATATTTCCTCCCTGCCTATAGTCTCACCGGAACAAGGATCATATGAATACCAATCACAAGGAGGCATAGGGGTGATCTGTGTTATTACTTTCTTGCCAAGACGCGTGGCATTTTCTGACTTAGCCCTAATAATTGATCAACTACTTTTCCCTAGCATCCTATGCCGTAACTTTGAGATAGTCCCTGGGGTCTACTCAAAAAACGGCCCAGGTGGTATTAATGCGGTATGCGGTTGTCACTTCGGTATACCACCTGCAAATAATGCCATTACAGTCTGTCTCTCTTACTGCTGATCATCATAGCCTTTTTAGTTTCAATTTTTCAAGCAGAAGGCATGTTCTGGAACAGCTATGAGTGTATTCATTGATATCCCAACGACCGGGGGCTATGCAGGGAAAACCTTGCTAATACATAGGTTTTGCCTTGCTTGTAGCAGTGTCAACTTCTTTGGTTACATTATTGAATGATATGTACATTCGTATCTGTCGGTTCGGCTGTATACCCCTTGCAATGAAGACTTACATGATAACAACGCATGACTAGATCTGGTGGAAAGGTAATCTTACATAGTAGAATTTAGCACTAGTTAATTCATAGTCTGCAAGTCTTATGCATACACATTCGACGTGTCACGAGTTGAAATCTGAGACATGCGCTCGGATATCTGGCGGTCAAGGACGCAGGATTAATTCATGAAGTGGGACGGTAGTATAATATACATTCCTAGGGGTATTATCCTTGCGTTGATGCGTGCAAGGCCAGGGCTTATGCATCCACATATATTGAACAGTAATCAATGGTATCAATGGTGACCGTCGAATATCAATGACTCACACGCCGGATACTCGGCATGCAAAGATGGGGTTTCTAAATTGAGGTACGCATGACAAATGCCCACACAGCACATCAATTCCAAAAAAAGCGCGAATCTAATCCGATCGCGGGTTTGGAAGTTCATATTAGGGAGAGGCTGTCTTGCTCTGTTCGGGGTATCCAATCCTATGGAGTGGGGTCCCCGAATCAACCATAGGTGGTGCTGAAAATGCCTGTGGGACCGCCTTGCACCCTTTAGAGGCAATTGGCCAAGCTTTCCGTCTTGTCCAATGTGATATATTCAACACCACATATCGTTTTCTCTAGTTCTACTGCGGGTATCAAAGAGGCTCCTTGTCGGCCAGGGCTGGGAGACTCTACTCCCTCTTGTATTGGGGTAGTGTACCACACCTATATGCTTTCAACATTGACAATACCCCATCCGTTCTTATAGTCATACGCACACATGAATCAAGAAGACTTGCGATATATATGTATTGAGGCGTAGTAATGCCACTTAGATAAGCAACATTACCTCAATCAGTGGTTCGGTCTCAAGAAATAAGACACAAAGTATCGGTCCTCCTCACCATCAACTGGCTGGCTCACTTTATGGACTGGCGAGTGCAGGCGGTCGCCGCTTTCACGTTGCAGATAATTGGCGACGTTCACCAACACACAACCAGGCTTGGGATCAATCCACAACCACTCCTTTGTCTCCTTCGTCTGCATCTGACTCGCCCACTTTTCGCACCAGAGTAAGGTGACCGAGCCACCATCGGTGTGGGTAGTGTCGGGTACATTAGCAATGAATGCTTTGGTTGGCCCAGAGACAAACTTTAGTCCGGAATCGCTGTGTCCATCGGGGCGGTGAGCATTCTCTAGGACTGAGAGCTCATTCGGTCCGAGGCTTTCAGAAAGGCTACGAAGAACAACCCGTGTTATGCCGTCGCAGATGTTGAGAAAATCCAAGGTCGGCGCGGCGTCTGCAGCGAACGGGGCTGGTAAAGTGAAGCTGTTCTGTTCGTCTCGAGGGATCTGGTGGTGATTGTTCTTGATTAGACACTATATCCGAAATGAAATCCTATTAGCACACCTACTTCGAATGATTCGATGCCTGCTTTTTTGTAGCTATAGGTGTATGATTAGCTGACTAATGTCGGTCGTCGCCAGGAGTACCTCGAGGATAACATACCCATTGTCCACACCGTCTCGGAAAGCCTTCATTTTCTCGTCTAGAGGCTTGCAAAAGAACTCATGGCAATTCTTGTAGCTATTTTGCAGATAACCCGCGATCTTTGCCGAGAGATCATCGTTGAAAGCGACGTAGAAGAATCCCTGAGATTCGGCCGCCTTCAAAAGCTTGGCCGTTTCAACGGGGTCCGTTGCAACAAGTCTTTCCAGCTGGATGACGTCGAGATCAGCAACGTCCAAAGACCGATCTCCCACGATCGTAGTTAACTGCGAGCGAGCGGAAGTAACAGTTTGGGACATGATGGGCTGGACTGGATTCTGAGACTATGTGAAAACCACAAGCAGAGTGCTTATTTCCAAAGCAATTTAGTGATAGCCAGTCCATATAAGTCACAGGCCTCCCCAACAAACACGCGAATTGTTGTTATCGGTCATAGCACATCAGTGACCGCTATTTGAAATTGATTTAGATCAAGGGAGGCCCAGCACACCTGCTGCAAGGGATAGGTGGATGTACCGACACGTTGTAAATCACTATTACCTGTCGGACTGTTACGACCAGGCTGAACATATGTAACATTCCATGTCTCTCCCGCTTTTGGTGCCACGATCACTCACAAGTTATTTTTCTTCTGTTCTCCAACAAGCAATTGTGAATCCAACCCATCCATCATGATGCCCCCCGTCGAACTCCATGGGTCTCCCCTTCCAGACCCGGACACACCACTCCACGAGGTCTTTTCTCAGAACGTTGTGAGCTACCCAGATACAGTGGCTCTCATCAGCACTCAGCAGGCATCCAATCTCTACGGAATCCGGAGCCGGCCCATCGACAGCGCCAAAGAGGAGCCGAACTATCTACGATGGACGTACGGGGACCTCAATCGCGCAATTCAGCGACTAGTCCTTGGCTTGCAGAGCCAAGGTCTGAAGAAAGGTGACCCGTTAGTGATACTCATGCCAAATACCGCCGAATATGTCATTGCCACCTGGGCGGCCTACCAAATTGGCTGCGCCTATGTTCCCCTCAACCCCAAGGGCCTATCAAATCCTCGCGAGATGCGACACATGTTGGAGCTTGCAAGGGGAGTATGTCAGTCGGACGTTTTGTTCATCATAGCCGGAGTAGCCGATATGTGTGCGCGTGTTGAAGAGCTGACGTCGGGGTTGAACTGCACCAAGATACTGGTCGAAGGCGAGACGAAGGGGTGGATACCCTTCAACGAGCTGATGCAGAACTCAGCTGGCGATTCTCGACCAACCCTATGCATAGATGCTCACTCCAACCTTTCAGATCAAACGATCTTCTTCACAAGTGGAACGACATCGCTCCCGAAAGGGTGCATTATTCCATCAGCGTATGCTTTTGCATCCGCCTTGCGCTGGCGCCAAAGCGATGCCCCTATGCAACAGGGGGACCGGGTTTTATTCACCCTGCCAAATAACCACGGGCTCGGCTGGCTTTGGATCATATCTGCGTTCCTGAGCGCAGCCACGGTGGTGATCCCCGGGCCACGCTTCAGTCCAGATGCGGTGGCCAAGGCCATTCGGGAGGAGCAGGTGAGCCATGCTGGATTGGTGCCAACCATGCTGTATGCTTTGGGTAATATACCGCCCGCAGCCAGGACTCCGAGTTCGCTTCGGCGCATCATCATGGGAGGCTCTGCACCAACCGAGGAGGTTATCCGAATCTGTCTTGACACCATCGGTGCGTCGGGTGTGGAAAACATCTACGGTATGACCGAGGGTATCCTTGTCTCGTCTGGTGTCATGAGCCAAGCCAGCGACATTATCAAAGACGGACATGTTGCGATTGGCACGCCGTTTCCTGGCATGTCGGTTCGTGTCTACGTCAAGGACAGTAAAGTGCCTGCGGGGGTGGGAGAGGTAGGTGAGATGCACTTCTCCGGTGCTAGTCTTATTGACGAGTATATTGGAGGCGCCGATGAGAACTTCTACATGGGGGACGATGGCCGTCAGTGGTTCCGCACGGGTGACAAAGCCTTCATTGGCAGTGATAATCGCCTCTACCTGATCGGGAGGTACAAAGACACGATCATCCGCGGAGGCGAGAACATTGACCCGTCTGCCATTGAGGTGGTTCTGGGCCAAATCCCCGAATTCCATGCTCTTCAGCCTCAGATTGTGCGAGCACCGAACCATGTTGCGGGCGAGGTTCCCGTTGCCGTGGTGAAACAGAAAGTTGACGACCACACGGCCGATAGTCTTAAAAAGGCCATCCTGGAGCGGATGGGAGATCTTTATGTCCCGGCAGATGTGATACCAATACAGGCACTTGGACAGGAAACATACCCGACCACCATGGCAGGAAAGGTCCAGAAGACTAAACTAGAAGACTTAGTTCGGATACAGTTTGAGCGCCAGCATACAGACGACAATCACAGAATTGAAGGACCTATCTCCGGCCCGCAAGTGATGGAATCCTTGTGCATGGCCATCGAGAAAGAGAAGGGACACCCCCTCGACCTCTCCCTCGGAATGATCGAGCTCGGAGTCGACTCAATCATGTCCATCGCAATAATCAAGCGCGTCCAGATAGCAACCGGAGTATCCTTGCCATCAAGCCTGTTCTTCACGCAGGCTAGAGCCGGCGCAATCTGCCAACAGATCAGTTCGATCTCCGAGACGGCCGACTTCGCCAATTTCACCCCCATCATGGAAGACGGGCCTACCAATAAGTGCTTCTCTGTCCTACTCCAGGGCACCCCTCGACCAGGCGTTGCCCCCGTCTTCCTGACGCCCCCGGGCTCCGGAAACGCCCTCGTATACCGAACACTACCCAAGTTCGTCGACGACCGTGCAGTCTACAGTTTCGCATCGCCCTTCCTCATGACCAAATCCGAATCCACCTGGACGATAGAAGAAACGGCTACTATCTACGCTAGCACCATCCGCAGTATCGATCCGAACGGGCCATATATCCTTGGCGGCTGGTCAATGGGTACCGCCACGGCCTACGAAACGGCATACCAGCTGCACAAACAAGGGAAGCAAGTCCTGGGGATCTTCATGCTCGACTTGGCGTTGCCACGACCACCCCCGCACATCCCTGAGGCAACCGTTGAGTTATTCGAAATGATGGGAGTATTCCCCCCGATCCGCCGTAAAGGGAAGCCTGACGTGGAGGTTCCCGGCTTCCGGAGGCGGCATCGCGTTGCGGCGTACTACGCGAAGATGAAGTATCGACCTCGTCCGTTCGACATGGCCGAGAATGCGAGCCGTCCGCGCATCTTTATCATCTGGGCTGGGCATGGCGATCATGACAGGATGGCAGACATGGTTGGCGAAGCGAGGGATCTGTTGAAAATCCAGGGGCCGGGGACGAAGATGAAGATTAGCGATGACTGGCTGCAGACTCCGCGGAGGACTTTTGATGCTGGGGGTTGGGACGAGATGGTTGGGCCGGAGTACGTCGATTGGGGTATTGTAGAAGACGCAGATCATGACACGCTCATTGAGGATGAGATGATAGTGAGTCGCGTGCCCTTTACCCCTAGTCTGTGCCATTTGGTATGATTAACTGACAAAATCTCTACAGGTGGGTTTGACTCTGGGCATGATGGAGAAGACTATAGGTAATTGGGTGCGAGAAGTTGAGCTGAAACCCAATGGTTCAGGTTGAAGTACCCTCTTTGAGGAAGGTGTGAAGGCCGCAGTTCTAATTCAGTGGTAGTAGTATTAATACTGCCAGGTTCAGACACAAGAGAGACTCATAATAATTCATGTTGATCTTCCTGCGCTTGAAAGACTGATTTTTGTCCTTCTTCATCCAACCACTTCGTACTATACCAATCAAACTATCAATGTATATAAAGCCTGCCCAGGTTACCGAAAGTTCCCGTGCCATGATAGTTCTCTCCCAAACTCGTGCCCATAACCGAGCTCCCGCCCGTCATACGAGCACAGAACAGACACAGATCTGGCGTAATTCTTCGGTTTCAAAAGTGTATCCGAATTAAAGGCATTAGATAGACAGTACCCCCTTGTATCAATCTCGTCACGCATTAAGTCCAGCTTAGTCAATTTGATCTGCATCTCCTCTCCGGACGCCCCATTTGAGTATCCTGCGGGCGATCAGTTAAACCTCAGCCCGTCTCTGAACTTCGTAGATATCCCTGGGGGAGTGATGCAAAATTACGCAGTGTCAGGCAGCCACCGCCTTGCCAAGACATACTCTTACATTGGATGTTATCCTCGACGCTCCAGTAGAATAGTGAGACGCCCCATGGTCGTTGCATACCGCCCTTCCTAACCCTGTCTCGAGCGCATCGACTATCGGTTCGAGTAGCCCTACGATACACCGACAATTTCATGCAAAAAGAAACTGATAAATTCAATTTTGATTACCTGGTATTGGAATACCAGCACGCACAATGGTCGATTCCGGCACTGCACTCTCTGTCGGTAGAACGCAGATACCAGACATCGTCGGTAGACTCCGATAAATACAACCGTCACTCCACCAAATTTCTCTCCATCTTCATTGGGACCCTGATTATTTGCTTTACGCTTCCTTGATCAGAACACCCTTCTACCCAGCATGACAATTCAGAAGCCTTCCAATCTCTCCAGCCTAACCACGAGAGCCGTGGCATCCATCGGCGAATACGAAAAGGCCCACACCGAAACAGCACGACAGGATGCCCTTGCAAACGCAACAAGGCTCGTAAGAGCGCTCGAGAAACCTGCGGATGCGGTTTACAAGCTGTTCGCCTCGGTATGACCCGTTGTTAGCATCTAATTCCTACTTGTTACTGACGTATGCCGTGACTTGAAGCCTTCTGTGCCCATGGCCGTGAAGATTGCCCATGACATGGGTATATTCGCCCTGTTATCGCATACAACCTCATTTGTCACCTGTGAAGACCTAGCTACGGAGAAAGACGCTGACGTCCAGCTTGTGGGTAGGTATCACCCTTATCCACAGTGGTCTTGCACATGCTGATATAGATATACTCCGGTCGGCAGAGCGCATCATGCGGGTTCTCGTCTGCAACGGTTTCGCGCGTGAACTGAATGTCGGTCAATATGCACCGACCGACCTGTCACAACAAATGACCGAGCGGTTGACTATCGGAGCAATGGACTCTCTGTACGCATCCATCCTAATCCAGCTCAGGAACTCAGTGTTACACCCACTTTTGCATATCCGGTCTGACATCACGGATGTAGGTTCATAGACTTCCTCCCAATCATCCACAAAACTCCAGAATACTTCCAAAAGACCGGCTACAAAACTCCAGGCGACCCCACCAACAGCCCTTTCCAATACGCCTACA